CCTGAAAACTGCCGCTGCTATTGATCGATCGTTGTTGGAGATCAAGGGAGACGCATTCATGCAGAGAATGTACAAGTCACTCCCACGACTTAGTGCTTCCTCAGCGGCACGGACGACAGGGTCTATTGAACCCTTTAAAGAGGTCGTCACACTTCCAGCCAACTCATCAGAAGCAGAGGCAAGGACCGTCTACGAGCAATGGGCCGCGAAAGCGCGGTTCGAATACTGCGACCTGGAAGTCAAGAATGCAGACGGCTCCACATCTTCCCCGCCAAATTACAAGTTTAGCTATAATAGCGACGCTAGAATGCTGGTCAACTCAGACCTACCCAAGCGCAGTTTAGCCATCGCGAGAGAATTGGCCGTACTCACCACGAATCTGCCCATTGCCTGGGATTCCTCTGTGTTCCTCAGAGTAGACGAAAGTCGCGTGGACATCATCAAGGCCCTAATAACTGGCCCAGAAGGAACACCGTATGTGCCCTTCATCACAAATGATGACTTAGACTGACATGACTCAAGGTATGAAAATGGCTGCTATCTATTTGATATCTTCTTGGGTGCTAGCTATAACCAATCTCCACCATTGGTCAAATACCTTACTGTAAGTCCTACTTGTGCTGACCGTCGAACATGAATAACGCCTTTCTAGACAAATAATGGTACATTCAGATTCAATCCAAACCTGTATGCGGTACGTCTTTGTCTGTTCCTTGTGGGTGCGCCGGTCTGATACAAAAACCTTCAGGAGGGCAAGGTGTGCCTTTCTTTACTGGGGACATGGGATGGTCCTGGCTGGATCAGCGGAAAATCGACTCTTCTGCAAGTCCTTATTTCTATTCAATCGATGATTCTATGCGAAGAGCCTTGTACGTGGATCAAAATCATGGCAGGGTTTCCGTACTCATCTTCTCTAGACTTGAACGAGCCTGGTTGGGCAAATCAGGCTGGTACGCCCGCATCGCAAGCATGTAAGTATTGTCACCTGAGAAGTACTGTAGCTCATCAAGTATATAGACTCCGCAAATGTCAGGAGAATGGTCGTGCATACAGCAGTGAGCTTCATATCTCTAACCGGATCCTCTATACATCGTTTAATTGGGTATTCAGATGCTCGGTAACTTGAAGAACCCTCCAGAACCATTTGTGGATGTTATACAGACCCATTTCCGACTTAAGGCCAAGGCTATCTCACAGCAGCTAGATAAATGGTTGAAATTGGATGATGGACAACCTACCAATGGCGCGAACAACGGAGGAAGCCTTGGTACTCCTGGGAATCAGGGCTCCGCTTTCCAGAGAGATGTAACAGAGCTCAAGGATCTATTACAGAAGATGTAATGAGGTGGTGTCGGGGTATCTTGCAGGTGCAAGTTGGCGAGGTAATGGAAAGTCTGAATGTATGAAAACAGCTAATGTTATATACGAGTCAAAGTAATCTTGAACGTTCAATTGTAGATTCATATACATATTTGAATTTAAGATCAACTCTTTCCAGAAGACACTTTTATGCGGTGATAGTTCCCCTCTATCAACTATCTAGAGGTGCAAACATGCGGCTGAAACAAGAAGCAGGAGCATTGATAAGGATCCAGAGAAGGCCGTAACTTGTGAGGCCGCTCCAGTGGAACTAGAGGTGGCGGGAAGGGTGGACAAGTCCGATCTTGTGGTCGTAGTGGTTCCGTTCAGGCTTGTGGTGCTTGAGTTTAGAGTAGAACCACTTGCATCACTGGTTGGATTGGAGACAACCGGTCCAGGAGCTTCTGATATCTCGGTTGGTATGTTGAGACTACCAGTCACAGGAATCACCGAAGGCATAGTCTCCACAGTGCCCCCTCCATCGTCGGAGCTACAGAAAGATGCAGGAAAGGTGTATAGTGAGCAGATTAATCACGATGACACTGCCTTGGTGACACGTACGAAGTACTTATTTGGATGGTTGGAGACGGGATGGCGGAAACCGCAACTGCAAACACGATTGCTAGGATATGCAACGAGACGATTCGCATGTTTGGGAATGTGGTTTGGTTCCAACTAGATTCCAGTGGTGAGATGAGGTTTTTATACGCTTCTGCAAACGGCGGAACGGCCATATGCACCGACTTCTGTAGCCCATATGGTTCTTCTCGTCCTAAAATACGCTGCATTATTTATACAACATGACCTCCAAAACGAGTAGAGAGTATGTTGTCCATCGTTGGTAACGTTCAGAGTGTGTGATATAATGAAGGTTTGACGATTGTCATGTGCGTTCGGTGCAAGTGGTACGGCTTTCACTTCGCCGGTGGAATGTAGCCACCTCTTGAATTTCACGTCTGCAAAATAACCTCAAACTTGGACCCTTCCTCTTTTTCCAGACGTTCATCGAAAACAAACCGTCCCCTCTGTGACCTCCCGAATTGTGCAGCAATGGCCAGCGACTCCTTTATTCACGCAGTAGCTGGAGCTGCAGGAGGCTCGATAGCAATGACAATCACATAGTGAGCCCTTGTATACCAAAGTTCTAACACACTTCTCAACCTTGCCGATTGATAGTCCACTTATATTTGTGTCTACACGAGCTGCAGTGGATACAGAGAAGAAACAAAAGGTCCGAAAGAATTTCTACAAGGAATATGGATGAGACATTGACTCTCTCCTTCACTATTCAGACAACATACCAAGCTGTCATCGACGTTATTCGCTCTGCGGAGGGAATCTCTGGACTATACTCAGGCTTGAACTCGAGCCTTCTAGGAATATCTGTAACCAATTTGTATGTCTTTGTCGTCTTGTTTCATTCCATCTGACTGTTTACGATGACTACTAGTGTATACTACTATTTTTATGAGAAAGGACGAAGCTCGTTGTTGGCGGCCAGATCCTCCCCTGGCTCCAAAGGGCTCTCCACGGTTGAGTCTCTACTGAACGGATTCATCGCGGGTATATAATACTGATTACATGGCTCAAGTCCTTCGGCTCATCATTTGATAGGCTCCGCTACGTCCATCATCTCCAATCCTATCTGGGTCATTCAAACCCAGCAGGCAGTGAGGACAATGGTACCAAGCTCTAACGATCCCAATGCTCCTGAAAAAGTTGCGGTCATTAAGAAACTATCGTTCATGGAGACCGCTATGAACATCATCAACAAGAGTGGTGTCGGAGCTCTCTGGAGCGGTATTGGCCCTGCTCTCATTCTCGTCATCAACCCAATCATCCAGGTTTGTGTATTCATGTGCAGAGTTCCGGGTTTTTAGATTCGCTTACACGGATCGACCATAGTATACCGTGTTCGAGCAACTGAAGAACTCTATAATGCAGCGGCGTACGGCTAAGCTTCGTGCTGCCGGATCTCCAAGGGCTGCTTCAATGTCAGACCTCGACTACTTTATTCTCGGTGCCCTCTCCAAGCTCGGTTCGTCCTCTTCATTACTCAGACCCAAGCATTGCGCATCTAACACAGCAATTCGCCTAGTTGCAACGTCATTAACCTATCCTTATATCGTCGTAAAGTCACGCTTACAAGCGGGTAGTGCTCAGTATACATCAGCGTGGGCTGGATTACAGGCTATCTTGGGTAACGAAGGAGTGGCTGGGCTGTACAAAGGCATCTCTACTAAACTCATACAGAGCGTATTAACCGCTGCTATCCTGTTTGCGGGACAGAAGAGGGTCTACGAAGTCACCAAACGGGTCCTTACTGGTGCCGGACTCGCAAAGATCTGAGCTTGCAAGAGACCATGACATGAGTTGGATGGTCACACCTTTGATGGTCAAGGGGAGAGCCGGAAGGTACTAAAACAGCATATATAGATTCAGCTCATAAATTGAATACATTCTATACCCCATGTAAACTCGATTTCGTCTGGATACACTTGGACCTTGTTTACATGGAATACTAGCTACCTAGTTGATTATTCACATTTCTTGCATAGTGCTGTTCCAAGAGCTCTTGATACTTGGCAGCTTCAATGGCAATCTTCCTGTCAATTCCTTCATTTTCCCTTTGGTCACAGTCCAATAGACTAAATAGCGTCATACTCAATTTGAAAAGCATGTCATTTTCCATTTTGTCCGAAATTTCTGCGAATATGACTCTTGCAGACTGCAAGGTACTATCAGAGAGCTCCTTCTCTCTTGCTTGACTATATGAATGCGCGAGGGTAACGAGCGTATTGAAGACTTCCACTGATACGTCGCCAAAAGTTTCTTTTTGAAGTTCTAATAACGAGTTCAATATGTCAATTGAATCGTTTATCTTCCCAAGTTGTGCGTAGGTATCGCTGACTCCCCTCATCCAATGTAAAGTCGATGGATGCTTCATTCCAAACTCTCGCTTTGCACCATGATACACGCGTCTTTGAAGAGAAAGCAATTCTGGTAGACGACCAGCTTTGCCGTAAGCGATCGAAAGTCGACCCAGCCAAGGGAGAGTTTTAGGGTGATGGGTACCAAGTCTTCGCTCATAAAGCATACAAGCATGTTCGAACATCTTGAAACCCTCTGGGTGTCCTTGTCTGAACATGGAAAATGCAAGCCAGACCCTAGACTCAACGGTGTCTGGATGATTTGGGCCAAGGCGCACTTGACGAAGCTTTAAACCTTCACTCTGGAGTCGTGCAGCTTCTTGGAATCGCGATTGATCCATATAAGTTGCGGCTAGAGTAAAGGTACATGCTAGTGTGTCTGGGTGCTCCCGGCCATATAGGTTCGACATCACTCCAACTATTTCCTCCTGAAGCGCTGCCGTCTCAGGGAAGCGACTTTGATTTTTGCACAAAGACACAAGTACGTGCAACGCCCTCAATATCTGAGGATGGCCTGTGCGAATAATGCCCTTTTGAGTATCATGAAGCCGGCGTAGGAGCAACTCTGCCTGGTCAGCATACCCCGAAGCAGCCTTAACCTGCACATATAAGAGGGCAAGTGTCATTAAAGTATAATCGGAGACTATACCATTCAAAATTTCGATATTTTCAACTTCAAAGAGTCTATTAAAGTCGTAAAACAGCTGCAGCAAATCTTCTGCCTTCTTCC